CAGTTTGCGCTTTTAGAAGAACAAGTTTTCAAAACCAGAAAACCATCTAGAACAAAACCGCACCATTTCCTTAGCTGTCAAATATGGTCTTCATATATGAAAAGACTGCTTCTGCGGGGTGGAGGAAGCAGGTAAAAGGAACAAAAGCAAAGCTGGCAAATATTTAGGCTGCTTGAAGGATTTCTTCGTGTAGGACTAGTTGAAAGAAACCAGCTCTAAGCTAAACCAGACACAAATGAATTAACGGTTGATTTATCCCAAACTTCATTTGGGCAAAAAGCAATGTTTTCCTATTTATAGAATAAAGGGGCAGGGGTGAAGCTGTAGGTTATGTACACAAAGTGGTGAAATGTCATGAAGTGTGGAAAAGTAGGTAGCAGGTCACAGAGCAGTTCATATGGTTACTTAATCAATACAAGTATTTCCTAGGAAAGGAGGGTTTAGGCCATGCACGCAGAATGGGGAGCCAGAGTATTGTAGCACTGAGCATGATTTGATAGTGAAACGGTTAACTGCAGGTTCCCGACACAGTGCTGGAACTCAAAATGAGACAAGGTCATGGTGTTTCTAAAGGGGGAGGGGAGTTAGTTGGGTTGTAGAATACTGGGTTTCTGATTTCAGTGTGGGAAATCCTTATAGGAAGTACATAAAGTGATCTTCAAAGGCTTAAATAAAATAGGCAAAGATTAATTAAAAGTTTGCTAAATAAAAGTGTATTAAAAACCTATGACTGGAAACACAGACTAGACTGGAAAAAGGCATAACTTTAAAACAAAATTATTAAATACTGGAGCAACTCTACTTTGGCCATTGTGGGTATTCCTTTGCTCAGTGCTTGTGTAGATTATGGTGGGAGCCCAAACTGAAATTTGAGCTTGAAGCTGTAAATTGTGAGATTCTGCAGTTGCTGGGATGCCAGGCTTTGTGATTGTTCTGGTTATTTCTGGACTTAAGCTCTGTGAAAATGAGACAGTTGCTGCTCTTCGTTATGCACATCTTGTTCTCAGAATAGTTACATTGGCGCAACTGCCCACGTTCAAACACTGGTGTAATCCTAAAGTAGAATCTTTATCATTCTGGTAAACTGATGGGAAGCAATTCTAAGGCATGAAGCAATGGAGTGTTCTGAAGCAATGGACAGCGAAGCTTAAGGTTTAGGATGGTGTGTTGTCTTTTCTTCAGACGCAGTATTCATTTAAAGAAGTGTTTGGCACCCTTGTTGTTCAGAAGGAGCTTTTTGATGTGGTGGCTAAACCTCTAGTGGAAGATCTCATTCGTGGGAAAAATGGTAAGCAAGTACTTGTTGTCTACCGCTTTTCTGTGCGTCTACCATGCAGTTTCTTAGATTGCTGTGATTTCATACGTCTCAAGGTTTCTTAGCTTGTCCAGGTAAAAACATGTATACCCTGTTTGCCATGAAAATAGCATCAACATCCTTGGAAGTTCTTCTTGCCTTTCGTTACTTCTAAAACGATTTACCTTTGTTACGATGTGCACGGTACTTGTGTCAAGGTCTAATCTTTTTGTACACCATTAACTGGAGAAGCTTTTTTTTTTCTGCACAAAGGGATGACTTATCCACCTAAAGACCAACTACAAAAATCAATTTGTAGGGCTTGATCTCCTGGGCACGGTTTGATATCATGGTGCTGGTCCTTGAGGTATCTGGCTTATGTCAGACTCCTCAGTAACAGTCATAACAAATCAGCCCTCTACACCTGGGACTTAGTGCCTTCCTTCTGTTTTGGATGGAATGCAAAATGCACTCTCCCCAGAGAGGATGATAGGTGCTGTCAGCGGTAGTTGAAGTTGCTATCAATGAGCGATGCGAACACTAGTGATGATAGCGGCTTTTGATGTACTGGAATAGTTTACTATTAATTCTTCAAAAGGAGTCATTGTTTTTTCCCCAATACATTTGACCTGGGAAAGACAAGATGGGTAATTATAACTGAGCTTGCTTTTTTTTTTTTTTTTTTTGAGACAGCAAGCATGATTACATAGCTTTCCTGTCCCTCCTAGGTCTTCTTTTTACATACGGCGTGACAGGCAGTGGGAAAACACACACCATGACAGGATCTCCTGGTGATGGAGGACTTCTCCCACGGTGTTTGGATATGATCTTCAACAGCATAGGACCATTCCAGGCCAAGCGATTTGTGAGTAGTTTTGTGCTGAATTCTCCACACTGTTGCTTGCAACAGCCTAAAAACACGAGATAAAATGTTCTGTTTGAAGTCTTTATCTCCTGTCCAGTCATGTGACTGGAGCACTTTAAAAAGAAAACCAACCAAAAAGAACTCACTCTCTTGAGATTAGAAGAGTAAGGCCAGGGAGGCAGGTGTAGTAGCTAGGACAGACATTTCACAAAGATGTACGGTCTGGCTGTCCTTATAAATGTTGCTCATTCTTTAACTTTTTTAAAAACAATAGAAAAGAGGAAGCTTTCTGAGTTATGGAGTGAGATCTAGGCAGAAGATACAAAAGCCACAGGAAACCATATCTAAAATAATATAGGAGATATGAGGCTTTCCTTGTGGTCAAACGCCTCTGGATTTTTTGGTATATAAATATATTTGAAATAATAGTAGAAGTCTTTTCCTTGGTAGTGTGCTAGCTTGGGAGCTTTTGTGAAATACATTTATCTTGGAAATATCTGTTTTCTGTCAGGTCTGCTTCTCATTAGCCAACAGATCGAGTGTTAGTGAGGGACACGGTATTTGCTGTTTGCCAGACAGCTTGATCAAATAATTTGTTTTGGCCAACACCTTCTGCTCTCTAGTGTTTGTCATTATATTGTCTAAACATACTCACTGCTCAGGTTTTTAAGCTTGATGACAAGAATGGTGTGGATGTTCAGTGTGAAGTAGATGCTCTATTAGAGCGCCAGAAAAGAGATGCCATGCCTGTGCCAAAAACTCCATCTGGCAAGTAAGTAACTATTGTAACATGCAGAATGAATTTAGTTAATACATATGTTACTCTGTTATTGTGGTTTTAACTTACCTTGGTCTCTTTATCCTTTCCTTGGAAAAAAGAAAGAAAAATATTAATGGAAAGTTAGTGTATTTCATGTTGTTTGAGCAATTGCATAATTAAGTATTTAGATTAGAAGACTTAGAATCACGCAATCTACTTCTTGTGCCTGTTAACCCATGAGTGAAATACTGTGACTGTACCAAGTAGGAATATTGTGAAGTTAAACTTGGGGATACTGTGCGAAATAGTGAAATTGCTGAATGGAGGGTAGAAATGTTAACTGTCCAGGAATTTTGCAAGGCATTTCTTACTGCAGCAGAGTACAGCAGTGTCAGATGAAAGTTTTTCTGCTTAAACTTTTCAGAGTGCTTTTTTTAATGTAATGTGACTGAATGTGTTGTCATTAGTTGCTAGTATGAGCATTTTCATACTCAAATCATGCTTTCTGTCAGTAGGCTAGCTATTTAACTGTGTAGTTGCTGTCAGACACGTTAGCTGGCTCTGGATGCTTCACTACAATCACTTACTGTTTGTGTTCAACAGGCGACAAATAGATCCAGAATTTGCCGATATGATCAATGTGCAAGATCACTGCAAAGTGGAAGAAGTTGATGAAGATAATGTCTACAGTGTCTTTGTCTCCTATATTGAGATCTACAACAACTACATATATGACCTCTTGGAGGAAGCTCCCTTTGAACCTATAAAACCAAAGTTAGTTTTATGAATACTATTATTCCTACTTTAGTTATGCTTTTGCAGAAACTGCAATATGTCTTTGTGGCTGTAGTTTTGGCGAGTCTGGCTCAATTCATGGGAATCACTTAAAAAAATCACGTGAAAAAGGTGATGGCAAAGGAGTCCAGACAATAGTGTGCCAAGTACTGATGGTTGTTCTGTTGCTGCTAAGATTTGGTGCTCCCTTCCTCATTATAATAGGGGATTAATAAGCAAATATTTAATTTATTAGGCAGTGTGTTGTGTCCTGCTGAGATTCTAAGTCTAATCATGCCATTCTGTGAGTACTGTTCCTAGCAAGTGACAGCAACTTGATGAGTAAGCCATTCCACGGCTGACCTTTTTTTTTTTTTCCTGGAAACAATGTATTGGGCAAAAGTTCCTATTTTGTTGTTGCTTTATAGTTAATGCAAATTTGCATATTATTTCACTTGATGCCAGTAATTTCCGTAAAAACAAAAATGAATTGTCTCATAAATGAAATTCTGGGTATTTTTTGGAAAGGTCTATACTTGGCTGATATCTAAAATTGGTAAATCTTGAGACTGTCAGAAAAAACAATCTGCAAATCAGACTCTGAATATATATATATTTTTTTAAATTCTAAATCCATTAAAGAAAACCCTATGCTTGTCCATCGGTACATGTGTTAATGAAAGTCGGTTGATTTACAAAAATTAACTAGAGCAAAACATGCTGTGTCTCTGAAACAAAAAGATCTATCTCCAGGGTACTGATTTAAAAGGGTTTGAATGTCTGTGAATGCGTTTTAAAGAAGAATAAAATTATTTGGTTTAGTATTGTGCTTATGTCCAAAAATGAGCCTACAAAGAATCTTGGATTATTTCTATTTATGGAAACTACAGTGTGTTATATATGAAAAGATTTTAGACACAAGCTGAATAACTTAATATTTTTTTTTAACCCTGTTTTTTTGGTAGGTGGAACAATTGCAACACTCCTGTGCGAAATGGTGACTTTATGTATGTGCATAAGCATATTATTTCCAATACTGAAAAGTGAAATTTTCTTTTAGTAGAAGCAGAAAATAAACTCGGACTGATTCCCTATCTCTTCTTGCTTTACTAGTGAATATAGAACGCTGTTGAAGCTATCTTGCTTCTGTGTGCATGTAGAAAAACAGTAGCTGCCATCCAAACCCATGATTTCCAGTAAGAATTGCAATTAAATGTAGCTTCTAAATTAAAACAGTAGCTGAAGTATAACTAATCTTGGCTGAATGTGCGTCCATGTACTTGTACTTCCGCTTCCATCTGCTGTATGGATAATTGACATATTCAGTCTGAATTTTGTACTTGAACAGAAGAAAATTTGCATGACACAATGTATTGTTGTACAGAAAACTCCACTCAATTTTAATGTTTGTGTTTGTTTTTATTTCCTCTGTCCTTAAGACCTCCACAGTCCAAAATACTTCGTGAGGACCAGAACCACAACATGTATGTCACAGGATGCACAGAAGTAGAGGTGAAATCTACAGAAGAAGCTTTTGAAGTGTTTTGGAGAGGTAAATCTTAGAATATAAATTCTTAAATTCGGTACAGATGTGTAATCCTTTACACTGTCATGCTGAAAACAGAATTGGCTTTGCCAGGTGGCAAGTCTGTTAAATAAAACAGATGTTTGGAGAGATTGTTTTTGTTCTTCTAAACAGGTCAAAAGAAGAGGCGTATTGCAAACACTCAGCTGAATCGAGAATCTAGTCGCTCTCACAGTGTTTTTATAATAAAGTTGGCTCAGGCACCCCTGGATGCAGATGGAGATAATGTGCTACAGGTGAATTCTGTGGCATGCTGTTAAAGGAGAACTCTGTGTGTGTGTGTGTGCATGTATTTGTAAGTTAGAAAAGGTGGTGGACCTTGCAGCGTGGCCTACCGAAAGAGTTATGTGTCTTGAGTGCTAGGAATTTAATTTTGAAGGAAATCAAAATTATTAAATTTTGAGTCTTTGACAGACTTAAGTCTCCGTTTTGTAATGAAAGTAGGGCGTGAAAATGGAGTGAGGCTGCTTATTCCTTTGGTTTTTACCTATGCTTCTTTTGAGCAAAAACTGTTAAGAATCGAAAACTCGGAGGATTTGAAGGAGCACAGTTGTTATGTCTATCTTGTGGCCCAAGGCAGATGGGATCTGCTAAGCTTATTCACAGAAAAGCTAGTGGTGCACAGCTGCTTGCATTAAGGGCTATATAAATACCCTCAGACTTTATTTAAAGGCACAACACATTCTTTTTAAGTGTGCATGCTGGTTTAGGCTTGAGGGGTGGGGTGTTCCTCCCCACCCTGTTAGAAAGAATATAGAGCTAATTGCTTGCATAACGTAATTTGTTTTCTATAATAGGAGAAAGAACAGATCATTTTAAGCCAACTGTCTTTGGTTGATCTGGCTGGAAGTGAAAGAACTAATAGAACAAAAGCTGAAGGGAACAGGTTGCGAGAAGCAGGTGTGTACTGCCTTTGGACAGCCTGGCAATTTTATGTGCTAATATATGCTCGTATTGGTCTTGTCTCCTAGTAAAGACATCATAGGAAGAGTTGAAATGTTCTGTTATGATGTTCAGCTGTCTTATTTGATGACTATAAATCCTCCAGTTTGGAAACCAGAAGTTTTTAGTAGCACTTATTCTGATACTTCAATTAATTAGAGCAGTTATCTGTAACAAATATAACTTAAGTCCAGGCAGTTTATTCTTAAGTGAACTGCTAATTAATTTGGGAACACGATCCAAATAGCTGCTTACAGAGTTTTTTATCTTGTGGTTCATTTTTGTTTTGTTTTGTTTTTTTTTTTAAGGTAATATTAATCAGTCACTAATGACATTAAGAACATGTATTGAAGTTCTACGGGAAAACCAGATGTATGGAACAAATAAGGTACGCAACCCATTATCTAATTATCTTTTGATTTGATGGCGATCTGGTGTAATGAAAGCTTACTAGATCTTTCATGTACTTTATTTTAAGATGGTTCCGTACAGAGATTCCAAACTGACTCATCTCTTCAAGAACTATTTTGATGGTGAAGGAAAAGTGCGTATGATTGTGTGCGTTAACCCTAAAGCTGAGGACTACGAGGAAAGCTTGGTAACTTCCTTGCAGATCTTACCTCATTCCCCCCCCCTCTTTCCCCCCTCCCCCCCCCGCCATGTTAAAAAAAATTGTACTTCTTTAGCAGTTGAGAGGAATGATGATTTTTGTTGCTTGGGCACTTCAGGTAGTCAAATACGATATTGTAAGGGCAAATGTGCCCTCCAAGTCTTATTTTTCCTCTTAAAAATTACAACTGCTACTTGCTTGTAAAATAGGAAAGGTTTCTTTTATTTACCGATAAGCGATAGCCATGTTTAGGTGCTTAATCCCTACTATGACAGTGCTTGCAAAAACTTCAGCTATCTGCACAGTCGCTTTCATGGTTCCTTGGGGGCTGCGGTCAGGGAGGTGTTACTGGGAAGGTTTCTGGATGCTCTGCTTCAGAATCGGAAGCGATCTAGTTGGGAACTACTTGAGATTATAGCTTGATAATGTCTCCTCTAATACTTGTACTGTCCTAAAGTATCACTTTCAAACTTACGTTGGACTGCTTCTGGCTAGTTTTGTTGTTAAACTTTCTTCTGTTCTTTCGTAGCAAGTCATGCGCTTTGCAGAAATGACCCAGGAAGTTGAAGTTGCAAGACCTGTTGATAGACCGCTCTGTGGTTTAACGCCAGGACGGCGCTTTAGGAATCAGGCCTTCAGAGAGGAACTCTCACGGAAATTGGAGATGCGGGGTGGCCCAATAAATGGAGGTAAATACTGGAATGCTAGGTGATTACAGCACAGTTTTTTTTCTGTTAGGACTTGAAAGCTATTTTAAAACAAATTGTTTGAGCCTTGGAAGTGCGAAAGGAACTTCAGTTAACTGTTAGTTCTGAGCCTTCTCTGCAATAGGTACTGCTCTTTCCATACTGCAGTGCTACTTGTAGTATAAACCCAGTTATTGTGTAAGTCTCCAAGTAATTCTTTGTTACTGGTGGTGAGTGAATTCATGGTCCCGTTATTGCAGCTCCTGAAAGGAAATGGTGCTGAGGATGATACTTTGGTTTTGTACGCTTAGGACCTACTTTAGAAATCGGGAGTTGCCTGGAAGTATTATAAGTCGATGAATCGGGAGTGTCACATTTGATCTTAACACTGTTATCTCTTCTGAAAACTTCTGGTTCTCATTAATTATTCTAAGCTCTGTCTGCTTCCTGATACTGTGAAATGAATGATCTGGGGCTGTGCATTGTCAAATGGAATTTTTCTGTTCTGTAGCTTGCTGACAGACTTTCTTGGCTTTAAATCTTACAGAAACAGAAGAGCAATCTGTTTCAGAAATGTTTTTGCAGAACTTTCCTCCGTTGCCTTCGTGTGAGCTATTGGATGTTAATGATGATCAAACACTTCCAAAGCTTATTGAAGTCCTGGAAAAACGCCATAAACTACGACAAATGTTGTCAGAGGAGTTTGCCAAAAACGGTAAGAGTGTGAATATCAGTGTGGAGCTAGGTTTTTGGCGCCCTTAATACTACTCAAGGGATCTCTTCTGTACCAACATGAAATAAGTATCTTGTCTAGACTGATCATTTAAAAAGCCTTTTTTGAGGTAATGAAATAGCTGGTAGTGTTAAATTGGTAGGAGAAAAACAGAACCGCTTTGAATATTATGGAGATACAGTGACAAAATATATTGATTCTCTTGCAGTGCTTGCATTTAAAACAATGCTGCAAGAATTTGACTCCAGTGTTGTATCCAAGGAGAACTATATTCAAGGAAAACTGTCTGAAAAAGAGAAAACAATAGCAGGACAGAAAACAGAGCTAGAACGCCTGGAGAAGAAAATTAAAACTTTGGAATACAAGGTCAGTTTTTCCGTTATCTAAAGCTAAGCACCAAACGCATCTTCTGTGTACCGTTTGGCAAGTGTCTTGGTATCAGAAGTTGCTTGCATGATGGATATTAGAAACAAGATTTAAAGTATTTTGTGGGGAACTTTACTGAACACTTTTAGCTTTTTGGCTTGCTTATGAGGTGAGGCTTTTCTTACTAAATTAAGATGGATAACTTACAAGAAAGTTGTAAAAAATCTCTGAAACTTTTTGGAGTGTGGACTATTTATCTGGGTATGTTTGTATAACAGCTACTATATTCTATTATATGTTAACAGTCAAATGTAACTAGCGATTCTGGGCTTTGATGGTTGTGCTTCTAAGAAGCATAGCCATGTCCTTCCTCTCTTCCTCCAGATTGAGATTTTGGAGAAAACTGCGACAATTTATGAAGAAGACAAGCGTAATCTTCAGCAAGAGCTAGAAAGCAAGAGCCAGAAATTACAACGTCAGGCTTCTGACAAGCGTAGGTTGGAGGCACGATTGCAAGGCATGGTGGCAGAAACAACCATGAAATGGGAGAAAGACATAGCCATGTCCTTCCTCTCTTCCTCCAGATTGAGATTTTGGAGAAAACTGCGACAATTTATGAAGAAGACAAGCGTAATCTTCAGCAAGAGCTAGAAAGCAAGAGCCAGAAATTACAACGTCAGGCTTCTGACAAGCGTAGGTTGGAGGCACGATTGCAAGGCATGGTGGCAGAAACAACCATGAAATGGGAGAAAGAGATGTAACAGAGCGATGCCGGGGGGTGGGGGGGAGCTGGGCGGCTTGTTTTTGTGAGGGTTTTTATATAGCAGTAGCATTAAGAATGGAGATATGTTTGGCTTGTAATTATGGACTCAAACAGACATTTTGAACTTAACTTTTATAAATGTAGTTAGGTACGATAAATTCCTCAAGGACTTTTGATGCAACTAGAGCAGCTCTCAAGCACTGTGTCACTTCATTTCAATATCTAGAATTTGTTCTTTTGGGTTTGTGGCACTCTAAGGAGTGATTCTCTTGTTCTGTCGGTTGTCAGTAGAAGCCTCATGTCAGAATTTCCCCTTTATCCTCATGTAAACTCTTGCTCAGCTATGCACTTGACAAGCAATAAGGAAAGGAAATCTGAGGGATTAACTTTTACTACTGCAGGATTGTTTATTACTTCAGGATCATTGATAGAACATATTTCCATTTGTCATAACTTAGGAAGCAAAATGCTTATGCCATTAAACATGGTATTATTTTATAATCTGGAAAGTCTTTAGCTTGATATGTCATTATTTCCAATAGCTTGTATCTCAGTGGGGAAGAATTTAATTCCATGTGGAATATGCAATTCCCTTTAAACTTTCAGCACAATTACTTGTGCTTTCATTTAAGGTACTTCATGCTTTTCCTCACTTGTCTTTGTAGGAGC